CGCCATAATGTTTCTCCGAGCTGTTTTCTCCATGTTTGCTCTCCAAACGATTTTCCGAACCCCTGAACAGTCATGTTGATGCTCGGACGCCTCCAGAGACGGCTGTCTCCGGCTCCTCCCTACACGTGCTACGGGCTCCGCGCTCTGCGTTATGGGTGGTCGGCAGTGGCTGCTTGGTCACGCCTGTTCCTCCTACACGTGCACGAGCTCCGCGCTCCGCGTTATGGTTAGCGGGCTAGCTAGGGCTGGAGACTCAGCTACACACTAACTGTTCGGACGGTTTATATTAAATATAAATATATCTTCACACCAATTGATCGCCGAACTGCATACGCGCCATCACCATTGCTGATTTTTCTCCGAATTTTATTTATTTGTACATCATGTACTATCCGTTCTATATGTTTATATTGCAGGATCATCGTCTAGGTGATCGGACCACCTGGTGCTTGGACTTTTCCACCGATCAACTGATCGGACCGCTAGGTTCATGGGCTTCGTCGCCGACCAGTTGATCGGACTGTTCGCCGGTCGTTTCTACTCAACGCTCACTTCGCCGACGACCAATTGACCAGACTGTTCATCGCTCGTGCTTTATCGCCAACTATGCTGGTTACTCCTCGGCACTTAGATTCTTCGTGGTCGAGGACTAAGTGGGTACACTTCACCGCACGCACGTCACCAGCTACGCTGGGGATTACTCGGTGCTCGGACATCACCAGCGATGCCGGGGACTCCCCGGTATTCGGACCTCGCCAGTTACACCAGGAACTCCTCGGTGCTCGGACTTCGTCAGCTACGCTGGGAACTCATCGGTGCTCGGACCTCGCTAGTTGCACTGGGAACTCCTTGGTGCTCGGACTTCGTCAGCTACGCCGGGAACTCCTCGATGCTCGGACCTCGCCAGCGACGTCGAGGACTCCTCGCTCCTCGGTGCTCGGACATCACCAGCGACGCCGGGGACTCCTCGCTCCTCGGTGCTCGGATATCGCCAGCGACGCTGGGGACTCCTTGCTCCTCGGTGCTCGGACATCACCAGCGACGTCGGGGACTCCTCGCTCGTCGGTGCTTGGACATCGCTAGCGACGCCGGGGACTCCTCGCTCTTCGGTGCTCGGACATCGCCAGCGACGTCGGGGACTCCTTGCTCCTCGGTGCTCGGACATCGCCAGTGACGCCGGGGACTCCTCGCTCCTCGGTGCTCGGACATCGCCAGCGGCACCAAGGACTCCTCGCTCCTCGGAGCTCGAACTTCGCCAGCGACGCCGGGGACTCCTCACTCCTCGGTGCTCGGACATCGCCAGCGACGCCGGGGACTCCTCGCTCCTCAGTGCTCGGACAACGCCAGCGACGTCGGGGACTCCTCGCTCCTCGGTGCCCGGACATCGCCAGCGACGCTGGGGACTCCTCGCTCTTCGGTGCTCGGACATCGTCAGCAACGTCGGGGACTCCCTTGCTGCTCGGATCTTGCTACATCTCATTGGTGTGCTATCAAGCTGCTCCATGCTGTTCGGATCAGGGTGCTGATCTTGGGCAGCACGTCTGGGGTCTTGATACGCGCTTGTCAGACGACGTCGGCAAGCTTTCAGACTTCTTTTTCTTTGACCCTGCTACAAGATTCATTCTTCATCTTCCAGCAGTCTCGGGGACTAAGTGGGCACACTTCACCTTGCGGTGAATGTGTACTTTTCTCATCTCGAGGCTACGCCCGGGGACTGGCTGCCTGCTCGGCTGGTTTTCTACTTTCTGACCCTAGCACCACGTGACTACATCACCTACTGTCAGGCTCGGGGACTAGCTGTGGGGGTATGGCCCCCGGTATCCTCAAGACAAGACATGGGCCGCACCATCAGAGGTGGCCCAGCCCACAAGATCAAGGCGTGCACGGCGCTGCTCGGCGTGCACCGCAAGCTATTGTATAGTACCAAATAGGATACTTTACTTATAACCCTACCCCTCTAGAGTATATAAGGAGAGGCAGGGGTCCCCTAGTGGATAAGATCTATCTACTACAGATCAATACAATACACCAAAGACACATGACGTAGGGTATTACGTCGATCAGACGGCCCGAACCTATCTAAATCGCTGTCTCTGCGCCTTGTATCACCATCTGGTTCCTGATTACGCGCACCCCCACCGACAAATCTACCATCGTGGGATACCCCTCGGTAGACTGCCGACGATATTCTGTCGACAGGAAGACCTTCTCCCGTCGGTCTTCTTCGAGAGGCCTTCTCTAACCAGCCTTCTCCAGAAGAGATTCTCCAGCTAGCCTTCTCCGAGAAGCCTTCTACTCTCAACACTGTTCAGGACGCTTGTCCCAACAGAAAGTCCCGCAGTATATAACATGGCGTTAACCAAATTAGTTAGAGTACGGTTCTTTCTTTCGGCAATCCCATTTGATTCGGGGAATATGGAGGCATCCTCTCATAAATAACTTCATGTTCCTCGCAGAATAGAGTAAACTCGTTTGAAAAGTATTCTCCCCCACGATGAGACCACAACTGTTTGATTTTCTTCTCAAGTTGGTTCTCTACTTCAACTTTATAGATTTTAAAATAATGCAATACTTCATCTTTAGTTCTCAGCAAGTACACATAGAAAAATCTATTTCTATCATCTATAAGAGTCATGAAGTATTTCTTTCCACCTTTGGTCAACACATCGTTCTCTCACTACTCTAATTGCGCATGCACGGATCATTTACAGCATGCTATAACAGGCGATGATTGCAACAAGTGTGGGTTATAGAATCACAATGTAGTATATAACAACTTGTATGTGATCATCGCTTGTTATAGGGTGCTCTAATTGATCCGTGCCTGTGCAATTAGGGTAGTGAGAGAAGGTGTAAGCATGATGCTTATAAATTATCTTGCCTTTGGTTATCGCTTATCGCACGGATTGTTTGTGGTAGCTAGCAAGTGGTAACAGCCTTGTCTAGTCTTTGTATTCCACCATATGTTGTAGGCAAGTTCTTAAAAGGTAATTAAGGCACCCATAAGAAGGTAGCCGCTTCGGGTAAGAGTTTTGTCCTCCTATTGTCTCGCCTATCTCCTAGCATACATGTTGGAAGGTATCAATCTATAAATTTCAATTGTGTGATTAAATTAAGATCATAGAAGTAGAGTTTGAATTAGTTGCAAAAATGAATCATAGGAATCCTTTACTCACTCGTTGTCCTCCCACCTAACTATACCTTACTAGTTATCTTTAATCTTTATCTTGACTTCATCTTTACCTTCGCTTGTTGCATCAGCCCTTCCTATCATATTTCGATTACCTCCTTGCACTAGTTGATACTAAGTTGTGGTGAACATAAAGATCTCTCATTTATTATCATTCTTAGCTACCGATTTCCCTTGGGATAAAATAAATAACGATACCTTAGAATACTCCTGCGTGAAATGCTACAACGGTATATTCTGTGTACTTGTGAAATTGTCCAATAATCATAAGAAATACCAATACCGATCTACTTATGCATGAGCTTCCAACTACATTCAAGCGGTGAAATTGGGTTAATAGTACCCAGGAACTTCAGTAAATTAGTCGATCTATAGATTTTGATAGATTTTGAATTGTGTTCACGAGCTACTCTGTGGACGCGGCACCACCATAGATTCACCTGCGTGAATGTCCGGCAGTGCTGCGCCCTATTTGACAGTTTTAGATTTTGTTTTAAACAGGCCTATTCTTCTCCTCTAGACTTAGCAGACTGTTACAGCCGCACACATCACAATGCACCATCCTTTTTGCTAATTAAGCTAACTCACGACCAACTTAATTGAACGTGTTGTCCCAATCGATTCTTTTATTTAAAAAAGCCTCATCCTAGCTAGTTATAAGTTTATTTGTTATGACAATAATATTGTCTATACTCTGTTGCACATTTTCTAAAATAGTATCTATATAATATAATATCATTTCAAATTAAAAGAATCCATGGACCAAGTCCACGAGTGAAAGGGTATATGGATGCTGTATATGTGTATTTTCATTGTATTATTGGATTTATTTTCCAACAGGAAAACGGCCATTTTTTCTTAAAGTAAACGGCCATATTGAAGTGTGAGGTAAGGGTTACGCCGCGGCTCTGGCCGGCACCGGGGCGGCCGGTGGCGGAGCCGCGCCATTGGTGGTGGTGGCCCAGTGGAGGTGGGGAAGACGGCTCTGCTAGGTGCGCAAAAGAGATCGAGGAGGCTTGCTGGGGAAGTCGGAGGCTCACCGAGAAATGGGAAAGTGCGGAGGAGCTGCAGCAGTGCCTGTCACCGACGCACGGCGGTGTTTGCCGGAATCAGGGGAGGTCACTGGAGCTTCGCGCTTGGCAGTTGGCACAGAGAGGAAGGGAGGAGGCAGGCGTTGTAAAACAAGGGGAAGGCGAGGACGATGGCAACAAGGATGCAGGCGCATGGGAGCTCGGCGAGTTGGCGTCGTGCGGGATTTTGGCGCGGCTCGATGGCGATGCTCGTGCCCGGTGTCAACGGAGTTGTTGCGGCCGGCATCTTTCGGGGAGGCGTGAACGGCATCTTCTGGTTCTGGCGAGGCACTTGGCGGTATCCGAGGCATGGAGGGGGCTCGCCGGCTGGGGCGCGGAATCCTGGCGCGTAAGAGCACGGGCGGCATCTTGCCGGCGGCATGGCATTTCAAAACTCGGTCGCACTAAACACATTTGAAAATCATTTTACACATAAATAAAACATATGTATACGGCATGAATGCGATAACACTACGAAACTCGAATATTTCTGTGAGTGATAAATTTTTCTGTGCGTTTTTCTCTATACACACAGATAATTTTTCTATGCGTTTCAAAAATCCCGATAGAAATATTCGAAAACCCACGGAAAAATTGCGTGATTTTTCTGTGCATGTCAATACACATAGAAAAATTAATATTATTCTATCGATCTTTTCAAAACTCACAGAAAAACTATATACACACAGAAAAACTATACAAAAAAAACTAAACATATCTCCAGACGCGGCCCCCCATCCCTATCCCAAACGCGCGCCGCACCCGCCCGAGACCACGCCCGCGCTCCCGTCGCTCCCAGGTCTCGCAGCTCCAGGCCCGCCGCCCCATCTCCAGATCCGGCACCCGCAGGCCGCCGCCAGCCACCCCAGCCCCGGTTCGACGTCGTTCTCTGCAACCAACCGCTGCTCCTCCAGGGTGCAGCCCTTCCCGTGCGGCGCTCGGCCCGGCATGCCGTCCCTCCTCTCCCAGGCGCTGCCCCTCCCCTCCTTGCCCCGCGCCGCCCCGGATCCGCCGCAACGTCGCCAGCCCCGCTGCTTCCAGAAACCTCTCTTTGCTGGCCCAAGTAAAAAAAACAGCCGAGTCCCGCACCCCTCCACCTCTCCCTCCTGCCCCCGCCCCTGCGCCCCATTTCCACCGCCGCCGCAATGGCCTGCGCAGAATCCCGCAGCCTCCCCCATCGGCTTCTCCCCACCTGTGGTCGTCCGCGTCTCCGCCGCCGCGTCCGCGACCAGCTGTGGAGGGCACAGGTGGGGACATCTCTCCGCGCTCGCCTTGCTTCTCCGCATCCCCATGCTGACGACGGCTGCTGGGCGAGCAGCGCGCCACCGTAAGCCGGGTGCCCAGGTCCTCTCGCCGGGACCTTCTTCGGCGAAGAACGCCCCACCAGGTATGCCCCCCCTTCTGTTCCCTTGATGTTGCGCGAAACCAGAGCGTCCAAACCCTAACCTATGCTTTTTGGCTATTTGTATTCGGATCTATGCCTACTACTAGCTTTGATGTTTTTGTGCGAATTTACAGATCTTCATTTTCAATAGAGATAGCATCCGCCATCAAACCAACAGGTGAATTGTATGTACTTTACTTCTGTTAGTTTAGCCATACTCCTCTACATCTACCAATTACATTCCAAGATAGGACAAATAATAGAAGGCCAAGGCCTCTGACCTGCCAAAGGCATGGGCACAAAGCAGAATAAAAACTGAAACCAAATTTTAGTGGAACAATATTTTTGCTTCTGTAATTTATAAGATAGTATTCCTTTGGGCAATATGAACTCCCAAATGAAATGTACGCACTAAGCAGAGATAGTTGATCTCATCCTTTCGGTGATAAAGGCACTGCCATCTAAAATTGATGTACCTTCTGATAGGCGGCATCTCCCATTGATGATGCAGATAAAGTACAATTGCTCAAAGGTTAATTCAATTTTCCAGGCAATAATTTTAACAACTTAAAATTTTCAGCATGATGATACCATTTGTTTGCAGGTTCCTTTTAATTTTCCTGAAGTTTAGGTTAATCCCCAACCTGTGCAGAGAGTAATCCTGCCTCCAAGCATTCTTGTTGCATACTTTTAGTACGCAGATTGCATCTTTAATTTAGTACGCAGATTGCATCTTTAATTCTTTTACTATGTGATTCTAAGGTTTACACACTATGCAATTTGTTGCCTTTCTTTGGAACACATGCATGGTTTTGTGCTTATTTTCTTTCCACCAGTTCTACGATTTCTTATTAACTGCTCCCATCATAGGTAAGCTTGTATTGTTTGGTTGGCTGGTGACTTTTGGCTTGTCAGTTTTAGTTTTTGGGCGATACTGTGGCTGATGAGTCTCAGCTTCTATTGGCAGCATTCTATTAGCTGCAGGTAATTTTAGTAATGTTTTGCACTAATATAGTATGTGGTGGTCATTACTAGCTTTGTTTTATGTGTGCTGTTTCTACATATTTGTGTGGGAAACAAAAGACATATTTTATTTCCTACTATAGATTATAGTTGTCTGTAGGCTGTAGCTATTTTTGATGAATAGGCAATAATATATTTTGTTCCTTTCATGATCCCATAGTTCTTATCCATGTATGCTGTGATGATCTGATTTGTGTAAGTTGTAATTGTAATGTAACAGATTCACTGCTTATCTCTTTCTCGGAGGTAAGGACTATGGAAGTTACTAGTATGCACCTAGGACAACGGGTTAGTTGTAATTGTAATGTAACAAATTCACTGCTTATCTCTGCGCCTCTCGCTTCAGATGTGTCTGATTCTTTTGGGACTTTCAGATGTGTCTGATTCCTGTAGTGCATCAGTGTTATCCCATGGACTTTCATTTGATTTCCCTATATTCCATGTGTCTGGTTCTTTTGGGACTTTCAGATGCTCATCAGACTCCATCTTATCTTTCTCACCCCAACTGGATCCTGCATTAGACTTGGCATTTGGTCTTCCAATTCCATCTCCAGCATTCCAAGCATTGCCTGATGGTGGCATCACATTGTTATAGGAGGAATCATGATCAGCATTTGTCTTCTTCCGTTTGTAAGTGCTTGGCTGCTCCTCTCATTGGCAGTTACCATCTGCCTTATTTTTGCCCCTGGCATTTCCCCACGTGTCCTGATCTACATTCAAACTCTGCCCATTCCAGTTGCTGGGATGCTCCCAAATGCCATGGCCATCATCAGACTTCTTCTCCCAGGCACCATCACCTCCATCTTCTTTTCTTTTGTCCCATGTATTTTCTGATTTTTATTTGATGCCTCAGGAGTGCTGGACGACTTCTCCCAATTATCATCACCTGCACCTGAATCCATTTTAGCACCCTTATCAGCCCAAGTATCCATTTCAGCTGGTTGTCCAGATACAGTTGCCTCGCCTGTTGGCTTCTCGGTGCCCCAATCAGTGGAATTGTCCTGCACCTTAGCATGCACTTCCCATGAATTATCTTGATCTGCTGGCTTTGCAGCCGCTCCACCTCCACTACTCCAGCCTCCCCAATCAATGGAATATTTTGTGAGTTTTCATTTCCATTTAGGTAGATATAGCAATTTAAGATATTTTGTTCAGTTTGCTGCTTTCTCTCAACTCTCTTGGTGCACGTAGGGGACTGGTGGTAAATTTCTCTGATCTACAGGAATTGCTCAATGGATGTTCTCAGCTAGAGGTAGGTTACAACTTACAAATGGTTCGATTTTATTCTCTGATCACTAGTGTGCCGACAGATTGGCACAGTCATTTGGTTTCTTTATTACATGAATAGAGGAAAGCATGCTCCTAGTGTTTATAATTGTCCAATTAATAAACTGAAGTCAACTGATATAGAAAGTTTGTGGTATACATACCATGATCTGTATCTTGCTTTATATGTTATTACTTATTAGTTCTTGCTTTATATTAGTCATTGATGAGCCACTATGATCAGACTGTACACTTCTACTAGTGCATACCTTACTGATTTTGAATTGGCCTGACATTGTTCCAACCTTTTCAGAGTCTAAGATTGGCACTTGATTTCTCAACTTTTGATGACCCCAACTGTAAAATCAGTAGTAAGAACCAACTGCTTGCACTTGATAAATATGAGCTTATTTTATTGCCATATAACAATCTGATTTGAATATGTATGATTCACTTGCAAGGTGGTTAGCAATGTCAAATGGCCTGTTTAGAAACTTATTTTATTCACTTGCAAGAGTATGTTAGATTGACAATACTACTATGCTTATGTGTCTACATGCCTATCCTGCTGAAATCCCTTATTTCTTAGTAATAATTTGGATGTTTTTTTTGTGAAATTGCTAATTGGCGTAGCACCTCAAAGTGTGGTTCTCTCAACATTTGACTTCAATAGGATGCTCTCTTATTTATATCATAGCTGTCTTTAGTGTTTTTCTTAGTGTATGGTAGATGTGCTGATACAAGCATTACTGTATATGGTGATGCAACAAGTCAAATCATTCGGAGTCATTCAGTGGTAGCAGCATTGTGTCATCATGAGTTGGCATATGTGTCTAGGGACTATGATCTGGGTTTGGGTGTCCACTGAAGCTTCAGTTTTCCTCAATGATGTGTACAAGCAGCATTTTCAGCATGCGAAAACTGAATCAGTCGGGTTCATTGGTGGCATTAGCATACAAGGCTATTTGTGAAGTTGGCTGTTTCAGGAATAGCATCCATGATGCGATTTATCAATTGATAGTTGCAAGTTGCCTGTGCTTGATGAATGTGATTGGTTTGAATAAGATTTTCAGATTATGCTCTGTGGTGCTTCCCATGTTGGAACTGATCTGCATTGTCGGTTGTCTGTTAAAGTTTAGATCGTTATCTGCATATGTCTAGGGCTTTGGGTTTGAGACCTCATGGTATTTGGCATTATGAAACTGTCCTGTTACTTATAGTGCAGGACTTAGCCACGAATAATATGCAAGGTTTCATGAGTGTGTATGCATTGTCTTTTATGTACCTAACCTAATATGATTGCCGCTCCTTTGAATGAGAGTCTCATACTTTGAAAAATGGGTTTGCTCACTTTTCTTTCTTTTTTAATCTTCTTTAGTTAATTTAATAGTGTACTATTTCTAGACTCATGAATGTATTAGTTGATCTTCAGCAATAATCTAATATATTAAGGTGGCTGCGTGATTTGTTACATTCTTGTTTTATTAGTGTGCTATTGTTGTAGTATGTTTGTTGACAGTCTTCATGTACATATTCCCAATATTGTAGTCGAATGAGCAAAACAGTGGAGAATATTCTCAATCTGAAAACATGGTAGAGACTGCGCAAGGGCATGATAAGGAGACTACCCCTGGACCTGTAAAAGCTACCAAGAGGATAAAAAAACTAAAGGCTTCTAAACACAACTTGGGCACCTCAAATTCTGGAGCAATTGAAGGTATGTTGTTGCTAATTTTCTTATTTAACTTACATGTTCTGCATCATTTGTTGGTAAAAGTTCCATGTTGCCATTTCTAATCGGATTCGTTCATTTAATGGCCATTTATTGGCTTTTACTTGTAGCTGATGGGCTCACATTTTTTTATTCAGGAGATGCTGATCCTTCTTTATCTTCATTAAGCCACTGCCGCTATGACAACTCACTAAGTTTGTTCTCCCGTTCTCCCCTGTACCAAATTTAAGATGCTATCTTCGCTTGTTTATTTATCATTAGCTTGTTAACAGGTCTGCTGACAAAGAAGTTCATCAACCTGCTTCAAGGAGCTGAAGATGGGACCCTTGATTTAAACAAAGCAGCTGAGACATGCTTGTTAACAGGTCAGGCTCAGGCTCAGGTAGGCAGCGGGCAGGCGGAGGCAGCCTGTCGTCGTCTATTTTTGACAAAAGTGTTGACTATTTGTGTATTATTTGAATGAAACCTTGTTGGTCATGCACAGAAAGTACTGTATGGAAAATATATATTTTAATAAGCTATTGCTACTGTTTTAAAATAATTTTTTTGTGTGTTTAACTCTTTTTTCCTGTGAGGTTGGCTACACAGAAATATATTTTTTAATCTGGGCGAAATAAATTTTTCTGTGAGTTCATCTAGACCGATAGAAAAAACATGTGTTTTTCTATGCGTTTATTTCTTTTTTCTGTGTGGATTAACACATAGAAAAAATAGTTTTAATCTAGGCGAACGCAATTTTTCTGTGCGTGTAACATCCATAGAAAAATTGTTTCTGACGGCGAACACACAGAATAATTGAATTTTTCTGTTATTATATTTCTGTGGGTATTTTTCTGAGGATACACCGTCAGAAAAATATTTTTCTGACGGTATTTGCATTTTTCTGTGTGTTTTCGCACACACAGAAAAATGAGAGATTCCAGTAGTGTAAGCATTTATAACCTAGTCTATATTAGTTTGATTCATAAACTATTTTTATAGTCCACTAAAAATACTCAGATTCGCGGGGTGACGGCATGATGCATTGTGTTTAAGAAGAAGATCCTGTTATGCAGGGTAATGACACGAGGCATTGTGTTTAATAAGAAGATCTTGTTATGCGGATCGAGAAAATCCTCGAACCCTGCCCCATCCTTACAAAGCGGCGGGTAATGGCATGAGGCATTGTGTTTAAGAAGATCTTGTTATGCAGGGTAACGGCATGTGGCATTGTGTATAAGAAGAAGATCTTATTACGTGGATCGAGAAAATCTCCGAACCCTTGCCCTATCCTTACACAGCGGTTGGAGTGGACCTCAGCCCCGTGGATTGGCCTGGGACAGGCGAGGAGATTTTTTTGCAACTACGCAAATATGCGCATGCGGAGGTGGGGAGTTGAACTCCCGACCTAAAGCTTCGCACAAACAGGAGCTACCAACCGAGCTATCAGCTCGTCCGCTATCCTCCATTAATAATTATGTATTAGCGCTAATTAATCTTGAAAAAATTTAAATTATTGCAACACTTGGATTAGGGTGTTACATCTACCTCCACTGAAGCCGCTGCCCTGTCGCCCTCCACACATGGTTTCCTTTTTCGGCCAAAATCTCCTGATATTTCCGATTTATCATTTTTATCCGTAGGTGCCAATAAAAAATATCTATCTTTTTTGTACAAATTTTGTTTAAATTTACTTAAATTCAAATGAGATTTTATTTGAATTTGGTTCGATATTTCCGATATATCTTGTTTATCCTCTTTATCTGTGACCCTTGATAAATTTTAATTTCCGAAAATGAAAACCTTGCTCCACAACGCGTCTTCCCACCATTGACCATCCTCTGGCATCTTCTTCTCTGATGCAGCGAGTTCGTTGAAACCGAGCAGGCCGACTCTTATTCAATTCCATAATTATTATTTGTATGTGAGAAAATCAACACATCTTTAGACTTTTAGAGCACCTCAAGCAGAACACACTATATAAACTGCCTAGCGCTAGAAATCGAGAAAGAGAATTAGCTAGCCAGCAGTGTATAGATACGTGGACACACGATGGCACTCAAAGAGGAGAGCAGCCAGGACTTGCTCCAAGCTTACGTCGAGCTCTGGCACCAGTCCCTGTGCTATGCCAAATCGCTCGCGCTCGCCGTGGCGCTGGACCTCCGCATCCCCGACGCGCTCCACCACCACGGTGGCAGCGCCACCCTCCCCCAAATTGTCGCCGAGACTGCGGTCCACCCAAGTAAGCTTGGCGCCCTACGCCGCCTCATGCGCCTGCTCACCGTATCGGTCACCTTCAGCATCCAGCAACCATCAGCTGGTGATGATGAGTCCACCGTCGACTCGTCGGACGAAGCTGTCGTCTATAGGCTGACGGCAGCCTCCCGCTTCGTCGTCAGCGACGAGGTGAGCTCGGCGACCTTGGCTCCCTTCGTGGGCATGGCTCTCCACCCTATCGCTGCCTCCCCGCACTTCGTGGGCTTCTGCGCGTGGTTCCGGCAGGAGCAGAACAATCCATCCCCGTATGGCCTGGCGTTCAACCGAACATTCCCGTCGTTCTGGGAACACGCTGACGACATAAACGCCTTACTGAACAAAGGTGTTGGAAAACGGTGGTTTCCAGTAGGTGGGACAGAAAGGTGCGTAGTAGGCCTTCGCCCGACCGACTGTCTCAGGCGAAGGCGTGCCAGGTGGTCGGTGGGACCGGACAGATCTAGGGTTTCATAAATGCACTCAACTAACTCCTGTGTACATTGCTTGAACCCCCCTTTTATAGGGCTCACCTACTGAGGCCAATCTTTACAATACAGGCCCTTGTCAGTCACGGTACATTCACGGCATATTTCTATATTGATATAGACAGCTAAGGGTTACTTTGGAAGCCATTCTTTCAACCGCCATTGCCTGATGGGCCACGACTGTAGGCCTGTATGCGGCCCAAGGCCTGGCACCGCCGTCCTTCGGGGAGCTTCTCAAACCTGGGCACCTTCTCCAGGGTGCCCTTCGCTTGCATTAGCGTGCCGCCCATCCGTAGCCTTCGTGCTCGTTGACCGAGCCTCCACCCTGGACCAAATCCAGGCGCCTTCGCTCCGACCACTGGAGCCTTCACTGACGACAGCGCTTGGGAGCCTTCGCCGCGACTCGTGGGCCTCCGCCATGATTGGTCTCGCAGGCGAAGGCTCCTATCTTCTCGCCCTACACATCATTCAAAAAAATCCGTTAATCGTTAGTTTCTATCACGGCTTCGGTCTCCGGCCTTCGCGACTCAAAACCGTGTCCCAACAGTTCCCTCCTTGAGGGCTTGGTCTGGTAATAGCGGGCCCTGCCCTCAAAACGCGAATCTTGGGCATTGAGGCGCAGAGGCTCTTGTGTGCGCGAAGGCTCCTTCCCCATTTGCTCTTCAGGCTGTGTCGCGCGGTGGCTCCTACGCGCGCGGAGGCTTCTTCCCCTTTGCCCCCTGGGACGCCTGAATCAGACCGTTGGATTGTTGACGTGTTGGTGTATGATTGGCTGCGGTGGCTGCGAAACTGACGTGTTTTGAACGGATGTGACCGTTGGTAGCGGAAGCCGAAGCGACGCGGCGCAGGCTATATAACGGCGATGGGTGGAGACCCCCCATCTCTATCCTGCCCATCGCTTTCTCTGCCATCGCTTTCTGCACTATTGCCTTGTCCCTTGCCTTCGCATAGTTGGCTTTTGCCTTCGCTCCGTTCTTGATTTGTTTGTTAGTTTTCTTTATAAGTGGCTACGCCTGTTAATCCTCCTCCGCGCTGGACTTCATTCTTTGGGCCGTATCGTCGCCTTCTTAGGGTTAGGTCTAGTGGGTGGTCCGCGCGTTTCGAGGAGTGCATGCTTGCTAGTGTGGAGGCTCTAGGGCTTGAAGAGGATCTTTCTGGAGTTGAAGCCTCTGTTGTAGATTTGATCACTGCTGAAGAGGCAGAATACATGGCTGGTAACTCCAAGATGTGGGATTTTGGGCCTTCGCTCATGACCAAGGGCATGATCGAAGAGTTGCGGCGGCTGGGCTGCTTCGGGGATGTGAAGGTGACACCTCCGGCGGGGGAAATAATTCCGAAGCCGAAGGCCACCGATGCTGTGGTATTCTGAGACTTCTTCCTCTGCGGCCTTCACTTCCCATCGGCGTGATTCCTTCGCCAGGTGTTGGAGGCATTCGAGGTTCAACTCCACCACCTCATGCTAAATGGCATAGTTGCCCTGAGCAAGTTCTACTAGGCCTGCTTGTCCTATGGCACGGAGCCAAACTTCAGGACCTTCTGCGAGTACTTTGAGCTCCAGCGCTAGCTAAAGCGGGTTGGCGAAGCTCAGGCGTTGGCGCAATATGGAAGTTGCGCCTTTATGCCGTGGAGGAATCAGAAGGAGGAGAAGTTGGAAATCTCCTTTGCCTAGAAGAACAAGTGGGCGAAGGATTGGATGCAATACTGGTTTTACGTGAGAACCGAAGGCATGACTTCCACTGGGTGGATGGGAAGAAGAATACCCGGTATCCGCTGGCCTCGGTGATGACGCCGATGAGGCCTTTGACTCAAGGCATTCTAGCCTCGGGGACGGAAGAAGGTTGCGAAGCCTGCGACAGGGCCTTCACTCTGGCCTGTCGGTACTCTGGATGCTGGGACTTGGTGGACGAGATGGTGGCGGCTAACTGCTGTCCACTTGGTAGGAATAGGCCCTCTATGACCATCGAGATGGTCAACCTACCTGTGTTTGGCGAAGGCGTGGGGGTTCCCTTTCCCCAGTTTGGGTTTGAGAAAAAGGAGGGTAGGGCTGTGGAGAAGGTGGTGAGATCCGCGTTGGCTAGAGCGCGTGAGATACTAGGCGAGATGTCCGATAGGGAGTATCTCGCGCATTGGGCCATCATAGGTACAATGCCCCGGCTCAATTGAGTCTTCGAAGAGTTAGGGATTCACCACGAGGAACATGAGGTTCCTACGAAGGTGACAAAGTCCTTGGAAGACAAGGCAAGAAAGGCCGCCACCAAGAGTGTGACAGCCACGGCGGAGGCGAAGAAGAGGAATGGGGCTACAACTTCCATGGTGACTACAAAGCGGCGGAAGATGAGGATTGCCTCCGCTGTTGCCTCCGTCGACGCTTCTGTGGCCGCCTCCACTATTGCCGGAGAGGAGGTTGCCAAGAATGTTGCTGGAGGGTCGAGCTCTGCTGCTATCGAGAGTGGCGGCGCGCTCCGCCGCCTCTTTGGACCTAGGCGGCAAAGACCCAATGGATACTACCCTGCAGGGCTTGGGTGGTGGCTTTGCCGCTGAACCCTCCGCCGTGGCGCCTATGCCTGGTGTTTTGGATGATGAAACCTCCGGCTCCGAAGGCGGGGGAGCTGGTATGATATGATATGGTACAAATATAATTTGCTATGAATTTGTTGTAAGAAAGACTTGACATCCGGAGATTTTCATTTCAAAAATGCTAAAATCTAAAAGTTCCTCAATGATTATGAATACCTACCAAGGCCAT